TCAGGAAGTCTTCACAGCTGTTCATTGCCACAGATGAATGCATGAAAGGTCGGCCGATTTCCACCCAGTGGCTCTCCAACTGGATTACTTCATGTATCCAGACTTGTTATGACCTGGCGGGAGTTCCCCCCTCACCGACTGTAAGGGCACACTCGAAAAGGGTGCAAGCCTCGTCGGCTGCCTTTCTGGATGAAGTCCCTATTCAGGACATTTGTAGAGCTGCCACATGGTTGTCGGTCCACACGTTCACCTCGCATTATGCAATGTCTCCCAAACTATGGAGGACACAGGGTTCATGAGGTCTGTGCTCCATCCCGACTGTCTGTGAACTCCTACCCGCTTCCAAAAGATATAGCTTGGAATCACCTATTGTGGAATGCACATTAGCAATCAAAGGAAAAAAGACAGTTACCTTTTCCGTAATTGATGTTCTTCGAGATGTGTTGCTCATGTCCATTCCACATCCCTCCCTCCTTCTCCTCTGTTGGAGTTGTCTGGCAAGAGGGAACTGAGGGTGGCGGGAGTGCGCAGTGCCCTTTATACCGTGCCATGGTGGTGCCACTCCAGGGGTCACTAGGCACCCTTCCCTCCGGGTACTGCTAAAGGAAAAAACTTCCGGCACCGGTGCAAGTGGTGAGCAGGAACACCTATTGTGGAATGGATATGAGCAACACATATCGAAGAACACCACTTATGGAAAACTTTGAGCTGGAATTCCCTAGCCTTTCATAGAATCATAGAATATCAGGGTTGGAAGGGACCTCAGAAGGTCATCTAGTCCATCCCCCTGCTCAAACCAGGACCAATCCCCAACTAAATCATCCCAGCCAGGGCTTTGTCAAGCCTGACCTTAAAAACCTCTAAGGAAGGAGATTCCACAACCTCCCTAAGTAACCCATTCCAGTGCTTCACCGCCCTCCTAATAAAAAAGGTTTTCCTAATATCCAACCTAAACCTCTCCCTCTCTTGAGACCACTACTCCTTGTTCTGTCATCTGCTACCACTAAGAACAGTCTAGATCCATCCTCTTTGGAACCCCCTTCCAGGTAGTTGAAAGCAGCTATCAAATCCCCCCTCATTCTTCTTTTCTGCAGACTAAACAATCCCAGTTCCCTCAGCCTCTCCTTGTTAGTCATTGGCTCCAGACCCCGAACCATTTTTGTCACCCTCCGCTGGACTCTTTCCAATTTATCGTATCCTTCTTGTAGTGGGGGACCCAAAACTGGACACAGTACTCCAGATGAGGCCTCACCAATGTCGAATAGAGGGCAACAATCACGTCCCTCAATCTGCTGGTAATACCTCTACTTATAAAGCCCAAAATGCTGTTAGCCTTCTTGGCAACAAGGGCACACTGTTGACTCATATCCAGCTTCTCGTCTACCATAACCCCTGGTCCTTTTCTGCAGAACTGCTGCCTAGCCATTTGGTCCCTTGTCTGTAGCAGTGCATGGGATTCTTCCATCCTAAGTACAGGACTCTTTTGGCCCAATCCTCTAATTTGTCTACGTCCCTCTGTATCCTATCCTTACCCTCCAGCATATCTACCATGCCTCCCAGTTTAGTGTCATCTGCAAACTTGCTGAGGGTGCAATCCCGCCATCCTCCAAATCATTAATGAAGATATTGAACAAAAGCAGCCCCAGGACCGACCCTTTGGTCACTCCGCTTGATACCGGCTGCCCACTAGACATGGAGCCACTGATCACTACCCATTGAGTCCAATGATCAAGCCAGCTTTCTATCCACCTTATAGTCCATTCATCCAGCCCATACTTCTTTAACTTGCTGTCAAGAATACTGTGGGAGACCGTATCAAAAGCTTTGCTAAAGTCAAGGAATAATGTGTCCACTGCTTTTCCCTCATCCACAGAGCCAGTTATCTCCTCATAGAAGGCAATTAGGTTAGTCAGGCATGACTTGCCCTTGGTGAATCCATGCTGACTGTTCCTGATCACTTTCCTCTCCTCTAAGTGCTTCAGAATTGATTCCTTGATGACCTGCTCCATGATTTTTTCCAGAAACTGAGGTGAGGCTGACTGGCCTGTAGTTCCCCGGATCCTCCTCCTTCCGTTTTTAAAAGATTTTTACTACATTAGCCTTTTCCGAGTCATCCGGAACCTCCCCGATCGCCATGAGTTTTAAATGAGTTTTCTGGTCCTTGCCATTAGTGTTTTGCAGTGGTGGCATGTCTGCGTAACATGAGTCTCTGGCAAGCAGCGAACACACTGGGAGTGACCGTCAGAGACTGGTACTGATAGTTTACAGGTGAGGCAATGTTTAAAGCCTGGGGAGCCAGGCATAGCCATTTGAAGAGAATCTCTGTTTTTTGTTCGTTTTTTTTTTAAATGGAAAGGGAAGAGACAGGAACCCCGCAGGTAACAGGAAGGGGTAATTCTGGGCAAAAAGGAAAGGAAAAGGTATTCTGAGGAAGAGTATTCTGAGGCGATGCTCTTGTTCCGACTGAAGCCAATGGCGGCAAAGAAGGAACTGGGGTATGGTTGGCTACGCGCATGCGATACACACTCAGAGCAGCAGGATCTGGCTGCAGTGCGTGCGTAGCCAACCAGGGCACTGCTACCTTAAATCTCCGACTAGAAGTGCGGGGGCACTAAAACACCTAAAAGTGGAGCACCCACAGGGACACTCCTCGAAGAAGAACAATTGATCATAGTCCTCTTAGAACTGCCCTTAACATATTTGAAGATTGTCATCAGGTTTCCTCTCAATCATTTTTTTCTTAAGACTAAATATCCCCATTTTTTAACCTTTCCTCATAGGTCAGGTTTTTTAAACCTGTTCTCAGTTTTCTTCCTCTGCTCTGGACTCTCTCAAATTTTTCCACAACTTTCCTAAAGAGTGGAACCCATAATTGGACACAGTACTCCAGCTCAGACCTCACCAGTGCCAAGTAGAGCAAGAAAGTTACCTCCCTTTTGTTACATGCATCAGTCCTGTTAGTACACCTGACAATGATAGTAAGATTTTTTTCTTTTTTTTCAAAAGCATTACATTGTTGATTCATGTTCAATTTGTGGTCCACTCCCAGATTCTTTTCAGCAATACTACCATCTAGCCCATTTTGTAGTTGTGACTTTGCTTTTTCCTTGCTGAGTGAAGTACTTTTTACTTATCTATATTGCATTTATCTTGTTGAATTCAGACCAATTCTCCAATTTGTCGAGGTCATTTTGAATTCTAATCCTGTATTCCAAAGTGTTTGAAACTCCTCTCAGTTTAGTGTAATCTGCAAATTTCATAAGCCTTACTAAAATCAAGATACATCATGTCTACTGCTTTTCCCCATTCACTAGGCCAGTAACCATGTCAAAGAGGAAATGAAAGATGTAGCTTTGGATCGGAGTACAGATTTTCAGAAAGTTCGGGGGGAAATGGAAAGAATTTGTCTACAACATTCTTTATAAAGATTTTTTGCCATTGTTCAACCTGCCCTAGTTTTTATGTATACAACCCCCATTTTACCAAGACCTACATACTTGCTTAATTATGCACTGTACATAATCTCATGGGATTACATTAATTTTCATTAAAACTGTTAATTTTAATTTACTTTACTTTTTGACTTCTGTGGGACTACTGCTGTGTGTAAATTGAGGTGTACACAGGGAATGATTTTTTTATTTTATTTTATTTTTTGATATGCACATTGTAAAAAATTATGCAATTAAAATAATGTATTTTACAGAAAAAGGTTCGAGACAGAAATTCATGAGAATACTTTAAATATATTGCTAGATTTGAGATAAAATTGTGAAAGTTGACAATAGTGCTTAAGTATTGCATATGCCTTCAATTGGCCCTCTGCATTTCACCACACTTTAAGCACAGATTATATATATATATATATATATATATATAAATAAATAAATAAAGGGCCAAATCCTGTGAAGACTAATACACTGTTTAACCTATTGAAGCCAATGGAATTTCATGCATGTAAATAAATGCAGAAATAATAAATACATTATTTTATATGAAACAAAGCTGGTTGAATTTTTTCAACAAAAAGATTTACATTAAAAAAGTTTTGGGGAAAAAAATGATGTTGATTAAAAAAATAACTTCCTATTAACTTTCTGAAGTTTTTTTTATTATTATATTAAGGCAGAAAATCAACATGTTTTAGTATTTTGGAAACATTCATTTTTAAATGGTAGAAAAATTACCACAATCTCTCAATTTATTTTGTTTCCAAAGAGGACGGAGCTCGTCTTTTCTCAATGGTGGCAGATGACAGAACAAGATGCAATGGTCTCAATTTGCAGTGGGGGAGGTCTATGTTGGATATTGGGAAACACAATTTCACCAGGATGGTGGTGAAGCACTGGAATGGCTTACCTAGAGAGGTGGTGGAATCTCCATCCTTAGAGGTTTTTAAGGCTCTGCTTGGCAAAGCCTTGGGTGGGATGATTTATTTGGTGTTGATCCTGCTTTGAGCAGGGGGTTGGACAAGATGACTTCCTGAGGTCTCTTTCAACCCTAATCTTCTATGATTCTATCATTTCACCCCCCGTTTCACCGAAATGTATGTGTGTGGGGGGGCAGGTAGGAGGTATAATTAAAATCGGGAGAAAATAATACTTTCATATTTAAAAAGCATTACTCTTTTTAAAAAGAGTAACATTTTTTTCTCTGATACGTTTAAGATTGACAGTTATTTTCAGAGAGAAACTTACTTTATAAAAATAAGGGCTAGATTCACAACAGAAATGTGACAAGGCTAGATTAACAAGAGGCTTGGATAGATTAGTGTTTCATTTTTATGTATGTAATGACTCCAGAGGCCATGCTAATTGGAGTATTATGAATAAGAAAACAAGTCTTAACTAGAGCCTTGCTGTACTCTAGAATTGCACTTATGATTTGATGGGCAAAAATACTGGCAGTTTTGAATTTTTCCAGACCAAATGCATCTGTTTATGACAATCAAATGCAAACAAACTCATGTAACACAGATTGAAATCTTTGAGAGAACTTACCTTGTGAGCCCATGATTCTGTATTATGCCATCTGAGCTGAAAAAATGGGATAAAATTATAGTCAAAATACATATTATCTATAATTTAGTAACTCTTCATGTTCACAGTTGAATGAAGATATATTACTACAGTATCATGTGTTTGGGGATCAATCTGGCAGGTGTACTCAGAGGACACCTAACTCCACATAAAATAGGCAGAGATGGGGCAGAAAGGCACATCCCTCAGGACTTCTTCCCCAGTGATGAGAGTATTCACCCAGAATATGAAAGACCCAAGTTCAATTCCCTCTGCCTGAAAAGGAGAAGGGATTTGAACGGGATTTCCTACTTCTCAGGTGAGTGCCCTTTTCTCTGGAGTGTACAGTCTCTCTTTGGACCCATACCTGTTTAATTATTTATCCAAAGAGGAAAAGCTTCAACAGGGGAGATTGAGGCAGACCCATATCAGGATATTCCGTAGTACAATTGTTATGGTACTTATAAGAAAGGTTGCCTCCTTCTCCCAACCATTTTCAATGGAGTTAGGCATGCACCACTGCTGTTATTTCAAGAAATAGTTTATACCACTGACTCCAGGAAAGGGGTTCCTGGCTGTGGATACCAAGTGATGACTTATATGCAGAACTCTGTGAGAGGGAAGCTTAGGACACACTCCTCTTGTTAGCATCTCCCATTGGCAAGCTTATACTGGGAGCTGCCTAGTGTGCTGGCTTTTGTGGATCCTCTTTTAAGGCACCCATCTCTCCCCATTTATTCTAGAGGGACCCTAAGCACCTACCTCAGGGTTTGTGGATTCTCTTTGTGGATCTGGGCCAAAGGGTTTTTATAAATATATCAGGGATCCAGATCTGTATCCCTGCCTCTCTGTTTCCCTTATATGGTTTTCCCCATATCACAGAGTGATCTGGGCCAAAGACATCGAGTTTGGCCAGTTCGGAAGTAATGAAGACCTTGCAAAAACAACTTCTGATGAAAAAGCAGCTAAGGGAATAAATAGATAATTTGAATGGCTTGTACAAGTTATATGTTCTGTTATGATGTTAAGGGAATTATCTAATAAACTTAAACCACTGACTTTCATTTTTGAAAAGTTGTGTAGACTTGGAATAATTCCACTGAACTGGCAAAAATAAAAAGCAGAACTCAGCATTGAAAATTGTATATATGCCACACACAAAAAAAAAAAAAAAAAAAAAAAAAGGTTACGTACAAGGGCCCTTTGGAATCTTATAATTATAGCTAAAGCTGGTTCAAAACAAACATGCCAATTATTTTACATGGGAATGGTTTTTTTGGAGGGAGGAAGGGAATTGCAGATTTTTTTAAAATTTCCAATTATGTTTTTTAAACAAAATAATGAAACCAAAATCAGTTTTTGTTTGTTTCTTTTGTTTTGTTTCCCTCAAAAAATTCTTTTTGGTAATACTTAGGGAATGATCTGGCAGCCCTTATGAAAATGTAACTTCCTTTGAATTCAGACTTCTGCAGGTGATAGCTCTCTGGGAAAGGGACCATCTTTTTGTTGTGTATTTTACAGCACCTAGCATGGAAGGTCCTGGTCCATGACTGGGGTTTCTAGTCCCTATCATAATACACCTAATAAATAACGTATAGTATCTAGCACAGTTGGGCCCCGGACAATGACTAGGTCTCCTAGGTCATACCATAATACACTTAATAAATAATGTACAGCACCTAATGCAATATCATCCTGGTCCATAACTAAAGCTCCTAGACACTACAGTAATAAAATAATAATAATATTAAGGTACAATTTTCATAAGTGCCTAGGTGACTGAGAAACCTAATTCCCACTTTCAACAGTGAGCTTTTCAAATGGGTTCATTCAGTCCCTAGCAGAGCTTCGTATGGTAATATTCCACTACAAACCCCATGAGACCTCCAGGAAACTATGGTTCTACAAAAAATATTATAGGTTCTAGGAAGGAGCAATGTGCTAGAAGCCAGTTGAAGAATATAAAAGAACTCAAACATGTTTGCAATATTTATTTTATTTCAGCTTCCTAGGTAAAATTTTCAAAAGTGACTAGATCCAGCTTAAGTTCAGCACTGTAATACCTAATATTTACATGTCCTTCTGCCTGGTGAAATCAACAGCCATGCGTTAGGAGCTCAGGCTCCCTATACAATGCATTAGATGCTAAAAATGATATCCACCGAAGCCAGCAGGCTGAGTGAGCAGATGCCTAAATAGTAGGAAATCCTGATGAGAGAGGTGGGACCTAATCAACATATCTAAAAGGAAGTTAGATGCCTAAATTTGTGCTAGAGGGATTAGACTCCCACCACAAAATGATTCACAGACATGAACACTCTCCTGGTGTTAGGCAACTAAACCAGGTTGATTCTTTCTCACCAAAAACAAAGGAGCAAGTGCCCTCCTTTTATCTAATAGAGCACTGACCAGAGTGTGGGAGACCCATGTTCAAATTTCTCCTCTGCCTGATATGGGGTAGGGGCATGAACCCAGTTCTAGGAGCATGCCTAAACCATAACTGTTATAAACATACAGCTAAGGGTAGCATACAATTCCTGCTTTACCTGTAAAGGGTTAAGAAGCTTAAATAACCTGGTTGGCACCTGACCAAAAGGACCAATAAGGGGAGAAGATACTTTTAAATTTGTGGGGGAAGGTTTTTGTTTTGTGCTTCTTGTGTGTTTGGGCTTGGGGGGCGGGGGCAGTGAGGGACCAGGGCAGGGAAAATACATTTTCTAAAGCCATACCTAAACTAAGCATCTAAAATTACAAATTGTCAGTAATAAAAAGAAAATGTGTTAAATTATCTTTTGTTTTAGCTTGTAATTTTTCCCTGTGCTTAGAGGGAGGTTTATTCCAGATTTTTTGTCCTTTAAAGTTTTGCCTAGAGGGGAATCCTCTGTGTTTTAAATCTGATTACCCTGTAAAATTACCTTCCATCCTGATTTTACAGAGGTGCTTCTTTTACTTTTTCTTTATAATAAAGTTCTGCTTTTAAGAACCTATTTGGTTTTTAGTATCCTAAAAACCCAAGAGGCTGGTCTGTGCTCACCTTGTTAACCTATTTGGTTGGTATATTGTTCTCAAGCCTCCTCAGAAAAGGGAGTATTTGGTAGATATTTTGGGGAACGGGAACTCCAAGTGGTTCTTTTCCTTAAATCTTTGTCTAACTCACTTGGTGGTGGCAGCAATAACGTCCAAGGACCAAAAAAAAAAAAAAAAGAAAAGGAAAAAAACGTGCCTTGGGAAAGTTTTTAACCTAAGCTGGTAAAAATAAGCTTAGGGGGTCTTTCATGTGGGTCCCCACTCTGTACCCTAAAGTTCAAATTGGGGAGGGAACCCTGACATGGTGGCAGAGGGGATATCATTTTGAACCAGAAGTACAAACCTCAGGATATTAAAAGGATTTTTTTCTTTCTTTTTGCTGCCTGGAAAGCAGGAAGGTTTTTTTTTAAAAGGACACTTTTTTTAAGCTGAGAGAAGCTAGAGGTTTTTTTTCTTTGCCTGAAGTCAGAGGAGTTAAGTTACAGCAAGGGAGTTCACAAGCTGGTTTTTCTTTCTTTCTTTCTAGCTCTTGGGTTAGGCTAGGCTAAGCTCAGGAAGGCTAGGATGACAGAAAGTAATGTCCATAAAAAACTAAAATTAGCCAGATTTAAAGCTGAAGACAGACCAAAAAAAAAAAACAACACCCCATAAAAGACAGATGGCCTTAAAGCATTTGGATTTGAAAGCGGAGGCAGAGGCAAAATGCTTGGAGACAGAAATGAAGGCAAAACACTTGAAGGCGGAGGCGAAAAGCTTCAATACAAAGTTAGAGCTAAAGCACTTAGATCTAAAATGGGTCTACCAAATAACCCTAACAATCCTTCCCCAAAAATCCACAAATGGAAGCGACTATGTCCACAGTATGATGAATCCAGTAATATTGCTGAATATTTCATCATCTTTGAGAGACTGTGCACACTCCATGCAATTCCTAAAGATCACAAGGTGACCACATTGGTAGCAAAAATGATTGAAAAAGCTCTGGACATATTCAACAAAATGCCTATCGAGAATGCTTCTAACTATGGTAAATTTAAGGATTTTGTTTTGAAACAATTTCAAATTACACCTAAAACTTAAAAGGTAAAATTTAGAGCCCTTAAAAAAAGGGCCTGGACTAAATAATGTGGCTTATGTTAGATAAATGGGTGAAAGGGGTGTAACTAGCTTTGAAGGGATGTGTGATTTGGTTATACAAGAGCAATTCCTGACTATGACCAATGATGATATAAAACATTGTTTATGGAATAAGAAAATGGACTCAGAAGAAAGTCTTGCTTCTAATCAATTGCTTGCTAATCAATATGAGCAGTCCCAGACTGTCAAAGAGGTGGGGCAAATCAGAAGAAAACAGGTGGAGGTAGCAGAGAGGAACAACACTGTTCGCAGTTTGGGCGGATACCAGAAGGGACACCCTGAGACTAAAACAAAATCCTACCACCAGGGGCAGCCCAAAGCCCCAGCTACACCTCAAAGAAAACCCCAGACACTTTATCGTTTCACCACACCATTCTCCAGCAACCCACTGCGCCCACCTCAGCTGGGAGACGTTTTAAATGTAAAAAGCTGGGGCATGTAAAGGCCAACTGCCACAAGCCCCCCAACAGATTACAGTTCATTGCACCGGGGTCACACCAAAGGTCTTCAGGCCCAGATGCCTCCCAGATACCCTCAAAGCAAAGGAAAACTGTAAGTCTGGATGGGAAGAAGGTTATCACGTGGAGGGACACTGGAGCACAGGTGTCAACTATCCACCAATCCTTAGTGGACCCCAAATTCATCAGCCCAGAGATCCAAGTGATGATTCAACCCTTCAAGTCAAACACTTTTAACTTCTCCACAGCTGAGTTGCCTGTCCAGTACAAGTGCTGGTCAGAAATGTGAACTTTTTCAGGCTATAATGATAATCCCATTCCCATGCTGTTGTCCCACCATGTGAAGCTAGTCAAGAGGATGGGAATGGTCACCCACAGCCAGGCTAAGCAAGCCTT